CGCCAAGAGCGTAGTCGCCCCAGGAGCGCGTCCCGAGGGATTTTCTTTCCGAATTTGCCAGGACGTCACTGTGAACAGCTAAATGTTTTCATTCGCAGTTCAGGAGGGAGATTGAGGGGCTGGAGCAGGTTCAGAGAAGAGCAACGAGGCTGGGGAAGGGACTCGGGCATAAGTGCGACTCGAGCATAAGTGCCGTGAGGAGAGGCTGAGGGAGTTGAGGGTGTTTAGCCTGGAGAAGAGGAGGCTCAGGGGAGACCTTATCACCCTCTATGACTCCCTCAAAGGACATTGGAGTCAGGTGGGGGTTGGTTTCTTCTCCCAGGCCCCTTTCAGGTCTGTAAGAAGAGAAAATCTGGATCTCAGTGCTGATCATTCTCAGTATTTTTAGCAGCTTTGTAGTTCTGAATTTTTTTCATCTTGTTTGTTATGTGGTAAATTGGGCTATATTTATGTGTGTGTGAGATTTAGATTAAATACACTAAATAGAAGTGAAAATGGCCTCTCAATTTTGAAATATTTCTAGTTGGTTGCCTTGGACTCTCCTGCACTTTGCATTCACCAAGACTGTTGAACTGCTTTTTTTTTTTTTTGCAGCTTAGTTTGTGAAAGAGCTCCAGGAGATGAGCAGTGAGTCAGCCTATGTACACATGACAGGTTTTTAGATGCTTAGGATGTGTTGAACTAGAACTAGGAGAACATGCAGAAAGCAAGTTAGTGTTTGAAACTCTTACCAGCTAGTGGAGTTTTTGTTTTCAGAACTATGAAAATAGTTCTGACATTAATTAAGACATTAATATTGCTGTAAAAGATTATTCAAGCTTGCCAAAAGGGCAGGAACACACCATAAAAAGGGTCTAGATCTCTCCAGTTTTATATGGTCACAAGTAGCATTGGTGGTCATTACATGTTGTCACATAACTGTTCAGAGAAAGGTACATGGGGAGGATGTACCACTGCAGTGTTGCTGGCACAGCTTGAGGGTGTTTGGGTTGTCAGATGGGATCTGGCATCAGGACAAAGCTCTGAACAGCTTGTGCTAGGAAAGGTTTGGTCTCAGTGCAGAGAGGGAAGTCGTCGGGATGTTTTTCATTATGTCTGAGTAACAATTATAATAATCAAAGTTCTTACACTGGATTTTACAAATCCAAAGTAATTCAGATCAGCCGGATTAAAATACATCACAGGAATAGATTCTGGTTTGTTGATCTTCAAAATCCATAAAAGAAAAATTACTCCTTTAAAAAGTATTTTCTGGAAAGGATTCATTGTTCTACAACATTTTAGAGCAGATTATTTAAAGCATAGATTATTTTCCCAAATTAGATTATTCTGTTGACTATGTGGTTATAAAGTTTCACCCTATTTCCACAGGAAGAATGTGAACTTTTCCCAAGGTAGAAGGGGCAGGAGAAAATCAGAGACATCTCTTGTCCTTCAGTGTTTACTCTGCTTTTGGCATGAGTTATTCTGTCTTGTCCTTCACCATAGCTTGGAATACTGATTTTGTTAGTGGTCGTGATGTTCACTTATTTCATGTGTGCCTCCTGAGTGCCTTCCTCAAATCCTTTGTCTATCCACAGAATCTGCTGCTGCTACTGTTCTTGCAGCACTGAGATAAGGAACGTTGTGATGCCATGGAGACACTATGTTCCCAGCCCTCCCTGGTGACTGAATCCCCTTTCAGCTCTGTAAGAAGAAAAAATCTGGATCTCAGTACTGATCATTCTCAGTATTTTTAGCAGCTTTGTAGTTCGTAAATTTTTTTACCTAGTTTTTTATGTGATAAATTGGGCTATATTTATGTGTGTATGAGATTTAGATTAAATACACTAGCTAGAAGTGAAAATGGCCTCTCAATTTTGAAATATTTCTAGTTGGTTGCCTTGGACTCTCCTGCACTTTGCATTCACCAAGACTGTTGAACTGCTTTTTTTTTTTTTTGCAGCTTAGTTTGTGAAAGAGCTCCAGGAGATGAGCAGTGAGTCAGCCTATGTACACATGACAGGTTTTTAGATGCTTAGGATGTGTTGAACTAGAACTAGGAGAACATGCAGAAAGCAAGTTAGTGTTTGAAACTCTTACCAGCTAGTGGAGTTTTTGTTTTCAGAACTATGAAAATAGTTCTGACATTAATTAAGACATTAATATTGCTGTAAAAGATTATTCAAGCTTGCCAAAAGGGCAGGAACACACCATAAAAAGGGTCTAGATCTCTCCAGTTTTATATGGTCACAAGTAGCATTGGTGGAACTACCCATATTGTAATAGATAAATACTGATTACTGTATTGATCAGCCACCTTCTTCGGTGAACAGCCCATCAGCTGCAAATCTGGAGTCCTCAGGAGGAACAGGCTGTTTTGGTATGGTTGAGTGTCTGAAGTGATTTAAAAGCAACTCCTCACAGAATAGACCACTAATTCTAAGTAGTGGACTAGAAATTTTGCAGAGCATTATTCTTGCATGTGTAAAACACAAATGTAGGTTCTTTTGTGATGTACTTCCTCACTGTTTCAAATTACCTGTCTGCATTGATTTGCCCTTTAACATTTTCTGTCTGCTGCAGGAGTGGGAGAGGCTTGTCTCCTGGTTCCAAGCCTGCTCCAGCTTCATCAAAATGTGACTATTAGAATGTGAGAGCTTTCTTTTCTCCTGAAATCTGGAAATTTAAATCCTAATGAAATAAATAGCAAAAAAAATTTTAGCATCCTAAATTGCAGTCTGGCATACTAAGTGCTGTCTAAATTAATGAGCTGATTAAAAATACTTAGGTAATACAAAAGAGCTGTGTGATTTCTTATTCCTTTACTGTTTCGTACGTCAGAAAGCAAGATTGCTAATGACTAGAAAGACATTTATGTAATGCAGAATGTCTCATTAGTGGCATGCGCATCCTGACTCTAAAGCTGAGATGAAACCAAGTTGAAATGCTGAAAAAATCCCTCAGGAGTTTCTTTATAATTGCTGCTATGCTTAATATTAGCAATGTAACAGTTCCCCACTCCATTCGTTCCTTGTCTGCTGGGTTAATCCTGTTCTTTGTATCCATATATGCAACGATCTTTGAAGAAAATGTAACTATTACCTGAGACAGGATTAGGGGACCACTGGGTTTATTACGGAGCAGTTTCAGGTCAAAGGAATCTGTATGACCACTAAAACCAGATTTTCTTTTAAAACTAGGGCTCTCTGTATAGTTGAAGTACTCCAACTCCGCCTTCCCGGTCTGTGCAGAAGGGGAGGAAGGGAATTGTTGCAAGCCTGTTGCTATGGCCACGTAGCAGCAGGCTGAGCTGTTTGTGTGGCTGGAATCCTGCTGCATCAGCTGCTGCACGGTGAGTCCTTCCTTACACTTTGCTACATGATGAAAATGCTCTTATTAGAAACGTTCTTTTGAACGGCAGGAAGAAATTGCTACCCTATTAAGGGTCCCTCCCCCAGCAACCCACGAGGTTTCATTGCATAACCAAATTGATATGTCTCAGGTGAGACATCTAAATGCATTTGTGATTTTCATGTGAACATTATTCTTTTTCCATGTCAGACCTATCTACTGATTTCATTCTCTCTGAGCTGATCTTGGATGAAAGTTTGATGTTGTGCCAAGAAATGTGGGAGCTTTATCTTTCCTCCTTTCTTCTTCTGACCAAATGAAATCTGGTATCCCCTAACATTTCTTAATGTGCATATTGCAGAGGCATTTGTAACAATGATGAGCAAGATTTTCAAATTAAACACTGCAAAATCCTTTGAGGGCTAAACTGCAGGCACTTGTGTTGAGTTAGGTGAACAATTCTCTGCCCTCCCACAGAATTAGAGTTGGTGCCTTGTAGTTTCAGAAAGCCACTGGTTGCTACTACAGCCATGCACACTGAAGTGATTGCTCTTACATACCACAATGCAAATTAAGTCAAAGAACTGCCAGTTGTACTGAAAAGGGAAAAATAGAAAGCTGACTAGTTTGTAGGAACTTACTTACTTTTTATATTATCATGTTGTCCCCATATTGAGGTAATTCCTGAATACTGTGTTTCTCTTTACGTATTTCCTGTCTGGTAGAATTTAACTGAATTTGGAGGATGAAGTCCAACCTAATGCATTTGGTTCCCCCTGTGAGTAGGGACAGAAAAATCTCCCAGTTTCCCAAGGTAAGCTTTCCTTATTCCTCTGGTCACAGTATATGGCTCCTGCCATACTGAGCTGTCTTTCCCTGTGCTAATGCTATTTTAATTTAATGTAATGTACACTTCTTATCTTCTGTTAAAATTACAAATATTTAAGAATTTCTTTCCAAGACTGTGACCTCATCTTCCCATTCAATTCTGATCTCTATAGTAATAATCCTCATTTCTTCTTTTTAACCTTTACAAAAAAATTACTCTTGCCACAAAACTGCTATCTTATAATATTTATCTTGTTATTTCAGCAAAACATTAATAATTACATGCTTAAACAGCTCCTACATGGAGGGGAAATAGGAGCCATAGCTGATATTAAATATGTGAAAAGCCTAATTAGGAGGCTTTGGTTGAAGAATTTGATTCAGTTCTAATTTTCTGTTTGTATATAACCTTAGTCATACAGTAGATCAAATGTAGTAGGCACTGTAGAAACACAGACAGAAAAGACCTTTGATGTCACCAAAGACTTTTGCATTTGAAGTGTAATAGAAGAGTTAAGGACAGAGAAGGACAAGGAATTGCCATTCTGTTTTTTCAGATGTTCAAAAGATCCTTTTAAGGGCATTAGCATTTTTTCCATGCTTGAGCTCAGCCAAATATTTTGATTTTAATTTTATTAAAAATACCACGATTATTTGAAGCAAATACAAGGTAAACTACATTTTCCTCATTTTTAACTAATTCCTAGTTAAAAACTAGTAATAGAAACAGTGCTTCAGACTTATGAAAGACTGAAAAACCTTCATAGTAATCCTGACTTGCAGGTGGTATGCTCCTATCTGTGTTTGTCCAGTGTGCCTTAGATTACTGGGATGATTTCAGGCACTTACTGTTGTACAGAATGATGAGGAAATGTATTTGGCTGTGGGTGCTTAGCTAGTGATGGGTGCAGAGATTCAGAAAGGTGGGCAAAGGATGGTGCTGTGTCAGAGAGTTTTTACAAACCTAACTGGGGAAGCCTTTACTGCCTTCTAACCCAAGCTATACCTTTCCTCATGCCAAGTTAACCCTGTGCTGGACAAGCTCTTTGAATAAGCTTTTCTATTTTTCCTGGCCCGTTTGACTTGTTGCAAAGTAGCCATCGCACATTTGTCCCAGCAGCTGTTCTGTTTTCAGTGGTACACACCCGAGGCCTGTCTGCAGTTTAAAGAGCACTTCCATGCACAGGTCAGGACTGCTTGTCAGCAGAGCACTGGAACAACGAGGTAAGTTTGTAATAAACCAAGTTTGCAATGAACCAAGTTTGCAATGAAGAACGTCTTTTAAGCTTTCTGTATTCGGCTTTTGTCTGGCCTTTTCTCCCTCATTCCTCATGTGCCTCACTCCAGTATGTTTCAAGTCAGCTAAGCCCACGCACCTGGGACTTCTCTGACCTGTTTGACAGTAAATTAACAAAATGCCTCTTCTTCCCGTGTCAAAGATGCTTTTACCTCTGGCATAAGTAGCATTAAAAAAATTGTGGAGTAGTTTAGCAACAAATGTTATTTTAGCACCTTTGAAGTAAATGCTTAGTTCAAACATCTACCAGATCCTGCCTTGCTGTGTTCTCTGCTGGTGTTCCAAAGGAGCAGTTAATAAAGGCTTTGGAGGGATATAAACCCACAGGAGTTGTAAGTTTCTTGAAGCACCTAAGAATCTAGTTTGTCTTTTTGAAATATACATGCTGAGAAGTTCTCTGAAATGGCTTCTTAAAACTGGAGCAAAATTCTGGTAAATGTATAGCCTTGAAAAATCAAAATAAGTTGTTTTATGCCCTGGTAATAATCTTGAAGCATTTTTTTCCTTCCACTTTCTCTCTCTCCCAGAACTGTTACTATTACTGGTTTAATATCTGAAGCAAGGCAAGAAAGCTAAACAATGTTAGAAATCATCACTATTCAGTTAAAAGAAATAGCTGTATGTTCTAGAGATAAATGCTTCTGTGTTTCAGTGTGAAAGATCTTCCATAAAATGGAGTTTTTATGAATACTGACAATTAGCTCACTATTCTTTCCAATCTAGAGTTGCTGATTACCATGAGGCTTGTATGATATCCATCTTTAAATGAAACCTTTTATTCCTTTCACTAGGGAGTCTTGCTAAAAAAGAAAACAAAACCAAAAAAAAAGAGCCAAAATATGTCACCCCGAGAGACATCAGTGGCTTTATTGCTTTTTTAGAAGCACAGTCACTAGCTTAGTTTCATGTAAATTTGTTAAGTGTCAGGACAATTTTCCTAGCAAGACATGCTTAATTGGATTGAGGCATTTTGCCCTTCCATTACCAAGATCTATTTGTTCGGGTTTGGGGTTTTTTAAAATTTATTTCCAGAGTAAACCAGCTCTCCAGTTAATTTATTTTGGTAACAGAGTATAGCTAAAAAACTTTATATTTAGATTTTGGGAATAAAATTAAACCACTTTTGTGTCACTGCTCTCCAGATGTAGTTATTATTAGGTCATTTAGGTGATTGTTTGGTGGAATGGGGCAGGAGGGGCATTGTTGTGTACAGTAGTTGTAAAGCTTGACAAGAACAACCATTATCTTCTTTTTCCATTATCCCGAGTAATAAAATATTTCTCTGTCATTTGGAAAGCTAGTCTGAGAAATTCAGAAGCTAATGGCTGTATTTAAGACTCTTGATATTCCATCAATGTGTTAAATTGTCTAATCTAGGGAGTTTTTTTTCCCCAGTAAGAACTAATGGAACACACACCTCTAAAACATCACTTACGTTTTTGCTTTTCCCTTAAGGTTGTTGATTTTATTCAGTGTTTTCTCAGTAACAATTAATCAGGCAGTGACATGTCAGCAGCATAGGGGCCTGTGGCCACCCACTTAGCATTGACTGGACACAGAAAACACCTTCTTTTTTGGAAATATTAGTCTTGCATCTTACTAGTCAAGATTTGGACTATTGAGAATAGATAACTTGGAATAAGTGTCACATGGAAGCCTGATGTAACCAGAAATAGTATTCAATAGAAAATTAATTCCTTTGTTTAAAAAGCCATTCCTTGACAGAAAAGAACTAAACCTCTTAAGCCATTTTTGTAGCATGTGCACAGGAAGTGTCAATCCAAGTTTAGGTTAACAAATACGCTTACATTCACTTATCCACCTGTATCTCTCAGAAGATACACTATGTTTCAATTTTCAGAGTGCAGGCTGAGTCAACTAAAGCCCATCTGCTGCATCCTGTGGGAGGACCTAGAGCAAAGAGGATTATTTGCACGAAGCCAGCTTCAGATTGATATTGTTCCAGATAATCAGAAAATGTATTGGCTCGAACCCTGTGGGTTATTTTTCCAGAGACACGTTCTGCAGTGGGTTATTCTGTTATCAGCAATTCCTTGTTGCACTTAGGGCTTGATAAAGACTAATAAAGACAAGGGGAAACTTATGATTAATTTTAATGTAAAGGATGCAGATACTCTGTTTTTATGTGCAAACTGCCAAATGTTTATACTTGTAGTCAAAGCATTCATAGAATCATAGAATCAACCAGGTTGGAAAAGACCTCCCAGGTCATCAAGTCCAACCCTACTGTCATTACTAGACCATGGCACTAAGTGGCATATCCAGTCTCGTAAGAAATGGACTATTTCTGCTCTAGAAGGGTTTGGGGTTTTTTGTGATATTTTTCTTTCTTGCAATTTAAGGTTCTCATTGTACAGCACAGCCACAGTTAGGTAAGCTGAAATCACAGGTACATGTGCTCATCGCTTGCATTTTAAGGATCTAAATCAGAATTTTTAGAGAGAAACTGTTGAAATTACTACTAAAACCATGTAATATTTCAAATATTTATAACAGGTTGAAAATATCCAAAGTGGTTGTGGTGGGAGACCTGTACGTTGGGAAAACCAGTCTTATTAACAGGTACAGTATTTCTCAGCAGATGGTTTGATTCTGCTGTTTCTCAAATAAATGTTATAACATTTCTATTGCTGTCCATTTAGAGAAGTAGTTCATAGTTATTCTGGTTTGAACCAGAACCACTACTTCATGGCTTAAAAGATGAATGAAATCTGCAGCATGAGACAGGCTTGATACACCAACATACAAAGCCATGCTCTAGCACTGCAGTCAGTATATGTGATTTTTAGCCAGTCAAACATGATACAGTGTTTTCATAAGAAATCCAGTCTAAAGGCTAAAGAACTGGGAAAATATTGCAGTGTCTGAGTCTTGGTTTCATGTTTTCTCCTGAGTTGCAGAGCTGTTCACTGAACCAGTTTTAAGTCATCTTTGTGTGGGTACCTGCACTCATTTCCACAGCTGCAAGGCTGTAGGGGAAGCTCAAGTTTTTCTGTAGCTTGTAGAATAAGACAGATAAAATGCAGAATGCCTTAAAGAATAGTTATTTGATTCTTCACTGGATGTTAAAAACAGCTCTTATGCTTTTTGTAAGCATCCCATCCTGAGAGCTTACTAGATATATCTGCTTTCTAGTTAAACAGTATCTCCTTTCTTTTAATTAATGTTTGATGTTTCTATGTATGCTTCTACAATATATAGCAAATCCACAGCTAGTTCATTCTTTTTTTCAACATTTGCCCTAGGTAAGTGTTCATTTTGCAGTTATGTGTACTTGTGTCTTACTAGTATTTCATCCTTTTTTTAATTGCAGGTTTTGTAAAGATAATTTTGACCGACACTACAAGGCAACCATTGGAGCGGATTTTGAAATCGAACGTTTTGAGATAATTGGAATTCCATACAACCTCCAGATGTAAGTGGAAACAGCATGGTTAGGCATTGCACAGAGTACAGTCTCAGCAGAGCTCAAATCGCTTCAGGCTCCAGTGGATTAAAGATTTTTTAAAAAAAATAAAATTGCACAAAGATTAATGTGATCTGAAAGAAAGATTTTGTATCTGGACTTGCAGTTTTAATAAAAAATTTACTGTCTTGGATTTCTTATCCCTAAAAAACATTGTAAGCTTGTCAGTGAAGATTCATCTTGGATGTCTTGTGCCATTTCAGTGGAGTTCTGCCTTTTGAACTCACAGTTTATGAAGGTGGAAGCTTTTGCCACAGCCTTTGTCCAGTGCTATGTTAGCCCAGTCTGTCATTTCTGTTTACTGTGCACAATGAGCACTAAACTTGGCTTTGCTGGGAGTTTTATTCCTGCAGCCATTGAAATTAATGTTAAGGTGTCCAGTGATTTCAGAATTCCTTAATTAGGGACTAATTCATTATCCTCAAATCATAGAAAGACTGGAGTGGTTTTATTAGAATGTAAACCTAATAGCTTTGATTTTCAGCTGTTTGTCAGACTAGTGGGAATCCTGCCCTTCTGTCACCTGCTTTGGGTCTGCAGAATGGTGTCCTTTGGTGTTTCTGGTGGCTAGCACTGTTGCTCTGGAGAGGGCTTTACTGAATCAGCTATGCTGCAGTGTGACCTAGAGCAGAAATAAGATGCTTTGCATGAGGTATTTTGGTGCATGAATCTTAAAACCTTTTCACTTAGGAACACACTTTTTTTGGAGCGATCACTGATGTAAATAGCTGGTTCATGGTATTTATTGAGAAATACTTAGAAATCAGTTTCCCACTGATTTCAGTGCCATTGTGTTTTGGAAAATTCTGATTGACATTATTCTTTTGGAACTTGAGACCCTCTGAAAATCTAAACTCGTGCATCAGGATTTTGCAAACTGAAGCAATAATGTTCATGAGCTACTAAACGTCAGGTTGCATTATCTGCAAAGTTTTCAGTCGCTGGGTAGAACATTTCCATATGATAAGCACTAGTGCCCCCTCTTGCTGAGAGATTTCCATACAAGATAAATTTGCAAGTCCCTGTGGCTGGCAGTACTAGGCTGACAAAGCCCCAGTCTCTGTAGTGCTGGCAGGAGCTGAGGGCACTGCATGTCATGGGGTTAATAAGAAGCACTTTCTTGATTTTATTTAGTGAGGTCATTAGTACCTGATGGACTGAGCTGTAGGTCTCTAATTCGTAGTGCATGGACAGATATGATACCTAGCAGTTACAAGATTCTAACATGAGCTAATAAACAATTTAACTAGTATTGCCACAGAAAATATACAATATTGCATTGCCCTAGAAATACATGCAAACGACATAGATGAAAAATACATTGTAAGAAAAGGGTATTACCATGCAGAATAAGAATATTAAACCGTGTCACCAAAATGAACAGAGGTAAAAACAGAGTTCACATGTCTTCATTAAATAATAGAGCTTTACTGTATTTCTATCAGTAGTTAATGAATAACATGTTCCAGATGGTAGCACTTCTCTGGTATCATATTCTTCTCCAACTTGTACCAGTCTGCTGCTTCATTAGCATGTTTGCTCAGGTTACACTGGGTTTCATTAACCTGAAATTTCTTTTTTCCCCCATTGCACAGATGGGACACAGCAGGTCAGGAAAAGTTCAAGTGTATTGCATCTGCTTACTACCGAGGAGCAGAGGGTGAGAACAATATTAATTTGATCCTGGCTGTGTCAGGAGATTGTGTTTTACACAGAAACATATATGCTCCTCGGAAAGGTACCTGTAGACACAGTGTGGTGGAATGGATTGTCTGTTATTGCAGGGAAGAAGGGATAAAGATGTTATTGAACTGATGTGTTGTCACATCTGCAAGCTCTGAGTGTTCTGGTGATGCAGTGATAAACATTGGCACTTGTGTCTAGGAGGAAAAGAATTTGGGTTTGGGTAAGATTAATGCTGAAGTTAGATGTGGATATTTCTGTCATTCCCTTTGGTAAGAGACAATTTCTGCAGGAATTACTAGTCCCAAAATGAAAGGAGTAATAGCAGTATAGACTGCTCTATAGGTAAAGGCAAAATAAGGGTGAGGACAAAGTCTTACTGGGTGCTAGAGAAGGAAAAGGAATGAGCAAATAGATAGTCTTCTACCTCCTCTGTGTTAAATCTGTTCTTGCACCTTGTATGTAAACATTCTCTTTGTTTTACAAGACGTGTTGGAAAGAATTCTGATACACTTTCTAACTTAATTACTTTTTTCCCTCTTCTTGTCTTTTATTGCAGTTATAATAACAGTGTTTGATCTGGCTGATATCCAGACTTTGGATCACACCAAGTAAGTTTCTGTATTTTGGCTTATCCTTTAAAGCTTTTACAGCAGGTTTAATTGCCTTGCATATGTACTTGCTGAATCATGAGTGTATTTTCTATTGAGCTAAGAAATTAAAAATGACAGTCACTTATTTGGATTACATAGGGTGGGATTTTTTCAGAAGAAAATGCAGAGCATAAATTTGAACTACTTACACTTGACTTCCTTTCAAGTCAGTGCAGAGAAAAAAGCACTTTCAGTAAAAGCTTGATCCTTCCAAAACAAGACATGCAGGAAGAGATGAAGTGCACCGCAAAAGCAATTTTTTTTTACTTCATTTGCTGTAAGTAGAATACCAGCCTGGCATCTAATGTAAATGGTGAAACTGATGAGGTGAATCTCATGCATAGTGGTGCAAGGGCCTCTAATTTTTTAGGGTATGCTTCTAGCTCGAAATGTTTTTCTTTCTCTAGTTTCTGAAATGATTCTGTTGGGAGGTAGGCTGTCAAAAAGAGGAGAGAAAATTATAAACTCAAAGTATCTGTAGATATAGCTAAACTTACTGGTTCAGATACTTGTAATGTTTTGGTTACAACAGGTCACTAATTGTTAGGAGTAAACTTGTTCTGCTTTTAGTGCAGGCCACAAACCCCTACAGGGATCTGTGATCCCCACTGTTGTTGCAGCTCAGAGCATATGTATTTCTAACAGGCTGTTGTGACTGCCATGCAGGTACAACCTGTACTCTGTCTTATTTGAATGTGTACTATGGTACTTAGCTCATTTACATAGGACTTTGTAAAATAATATATATATTAGTGTCTCCGCTTGGCTGAAAATAATTGAAGCCTGTGAACCTGATTTCCCACACACGCACACACTCCCTTCCCTCCTTGACTTGTGTTGGATGACTCAAGAGAAACTTGATTGCCAGAGTCACAAAAATATAAAAGCTTGTGAGACGAGAATCATGCAGCCTTCATCGGGAGCTGTTTTATAATGCTGAATAGATTATTTCACTCATCTTTATTCCCATTTCTATCTAATCTGCTATCTTGTTCATACCTTTTGCTTTGCTTCTTGCTTTCTTATTGCTTATCTCGATCAAAACTTTGTCCTCTTGCTTAGATATACCCTCTCTGGGTGCTAAAATCATTGAATTTGTACTCTGTAGTGGGTGTGTTTGAAGTTTTTGTTAGTGGAAGACATGTATTCAAAGGAGTTGGAATAGCTCCTGGTCTCTTTCTGCTTAGAAAAAAAAAACGTTTTTTGATATTCTCACAGAAGTTCATCCTCTCACTTTTCTTGTGACCCTATTATCTGTCACCTTCTCCTGTATTCCTCATTCCCTCTGACTGATTCTGTCGCTTCTCTTTTGTATTTCAGACAGTGGCTAGAAGATGCATTGAGGGAGAATGAGCCAGATTCCAGCTTCATCTTTCTAGTTGGAACAAAGAAAGACTTGGTGGTGAGTAAATTGAATGCAGATAAGGAAATCAGATTTTCCCTAGTTTCTCAAGTGATTTCCCCTGCAAGTTGTGCATAATGTTGTTGAGATGAAGACCTTGAGGAAAAAACATAACAGGTAAACAGAGCAGCACACTTGTAACCAATTTAACAAGAGGCTTTTTAAAAAAATGAGTAGTTAGTGAAATATTTCTTGCATGACATTTTCAAGCACATACAAATATACCTAATAATCTTGAAGGTTTTCTTGATTTGTTTTTTTTAGGGACAGTGTGTTCTTTATTGAGGAACAGGGAAGATTTCTTACTTAATTGAATATGACATCATTTTCCGAAGAACAGGATATAATGAACTCATACTGCACCATTCTCAGTTTTGTGCTTGTCTTTCTCTAGCTATCAATACTTTATTTTTAAAGATATCAAAACAAACTTGTTTCTTCTGCTGTTTAGTTGATTTCTCTATATTCCCCTCCAGCTGCCACAATGTCACTTCTGCACTTTGTTTCTTACCCTTCACTGAAAATAAGTCCCAGAAAACTCCAAGTCTGCCAGTTTTTCTGGTACTTTGTGTAGTTTATGCTGCTTGAATGTAAAAGCTGCAGTAAAAGTTAAATGTGCCAGACCTCTGAGGACACAGATCTGAATTCCTTACTGTTAGTTTCTGATTTTAAAATGTAGTGCTTTCAACTGAAAGGGAGACAAGAGCAAAGCAAAGGATTGTGGGTTCTAGGTATTACTTGAGTGTGAAGCCAGTGTCTTCCCAACTGGATTCACTCTATTTCTCATCTGGATGTCACATACTCATATGCAAATTTTTGGATTTCTCCTCAGTTGGGCAGGGGATCTCCACAGTAAGACAATGCACAGAAAACATGCAAAGACAACTGGTATCATCCATCCCAAATGGGCTGGAAATTTAAAGCAAATAGCAACATACTCATATGGCTGATCACAGAGAACAACTGAGAGGGTGAAAAGACCTGAAAATTAGGTCCAGGAAAGCAAAATCCATTGAAAGGGAAAGAACTTTTAGTCTTAAGAGATAAAAAAGAGCAAAAATAAAAAGAGGGGAAGGCTATTGTGTTACAGCATAGCAAAAATAAATGGAGTAGAAAAATGGATCTGAGAAAAAATAGATTAAACCCTAAAACCTGTTGTGATTAGTTGGTTCCACAACTGATGGGGTGACAGGATTTAATGATAGGGTGACAAGATTTGATGGGGTTAGAATGATGGAGTGACATGGATTTAAACACCCGTAACTGGTCTGTTGTCCCTACCACAGTATGTGTTACATACAATGGTCACTCTTAACTGTTGGTTTGTTTCAGTGCTGTGGGAGGAAAGAGGAGACTTCTTTTTTAAAATCAGTACTAAGTACTTGAATGTTCCTGCAGTCATGTCTGATTGCACAAGATCTAAGGCAAGGTCACTAAGAAAACTGGAAGCATCACAGTATAGGTGCTGGCAGTACCTCTGCTCTGCTACCAGCCCAGGTGCACTTGTTATGTACAAGTTATTTCCTGTTGTTTGCTCAGTCAGATGCTGTGTGTGAAAGGACAGAGCTGGATGCCATCCGTTTTGCCAATGAGATGCAGGCAGAATACTGGTCAGTTTCAGCCAAAACAGGTAAGTTACTGCAAAGGATGTAAAAATAGCTTAACCACAAGGGCTGATGGTGAGGTGGGAGGAACTTATTATCCCTCCATTCCCAGTTTTTTGTTGTTGTTCTTGCAGTTTGTTGCTATTAGAAACTTCAGGTTTATTAATGGCTGATTTTATTTGAGCATTTGTATGTGTGCTTGCTCTGCCGTGTTTGCAGAAAGAAGTACTTGAGCTGCTGTGCAATGTCTGAGCATGTTTAATTCATAGGTAGTTACATAAATACACATGTGCACTACTACTCAACATTTGCCATGGAAAATATTATACTGAAAACTGAATTCTCTCTGTTGCTGACTAAAAATAAAGATGCAGCACTGAGTACAGTATTCTTGAGTAAGAAAATAAGCAGTTCTCTCTGCAGTGATCAGAATGGAAGACAGATTGTTGGAGAGGCCTGTTCTGTCCCAGGATTGAGCAGTGAGCTGTTCACAGATGTGCTTGTTATGCTTGATCATCTGTTGATGTGCAGTTGTAAAACACATAATTTCTGTGTTGTTTCCTAGGGGAAAATGTCAAAGAATTCTTTTCCCGAGTTGCTGCCTTGGCCTTTGAACAGTCCATGATAAAGGAGCTGGAGAACACCCCTGGGCGCATTGCCCAAATTGGGGAAGGAAACCTCATCAGTATGTGGAGTTTTGCTTTTTGTGTGCATTTAATAGTTTATAGTCTGAAGGACCAGGGAGATTTTTCAAGCATTAAGGCCAGTTTCAAACACCTGCAAGCATATTCATGCCATTATTTACCCAGGTTCTAGCCTATGGGAGTGACTGGGTCTGCATCCAGTTTTTGTTACCCTTAGTATTGGAGGGTATCATTTCTTGTGAGCTGATTTTCCAACTCTTTTGTTTCCACAGAACTGGAGAAGGACATTATGGAAATCTCAGAAGACAATGCTCAAGGCAGCCTGACTTGCTGCTAACTGTCACCTCTTTCTGCAAGCACCATCTTCACTGTGGCACAGCACAGAGCACCTGCAACATTGCAAGCTCTCAAACCAGAAACAGAGAGCTTTGATTTTGGAAATGACGGACAAAAAACGTATCCAAACTTTCTGAGAATTCTGTTGCTGCTGCAGGCTCACTTGTACAGGGTGGTACAATCGTTACATAAACCTTTCTCTGTGTGGTGGAAGCATAACATCCTTGTCTTAATGCAAGAAGACATTGCCAGTGCCATGTGCTCACCTTTCTGCCAGAAATGCTTGTAGTCAAAAATGATGTCATTTTAGTGTGTTGTTCTTTGATAAGTCTCTAGAAGTCTTAGTGAAGTCCCATTCCTGCAGGAGCAGGAAACAAATGGCAGTTCAGAATAAAGGCTGCTATCTGTGGAGTTTGCCTTTTAAAATCATAGCATAAGATAACTCTGATTTGCTTTTATTCATTCCAAGTATTTTAAAACTATTCAGAAATTAATCTTTCTAAATATCAGATATGGAAGCACACAAATGCAGGCTGCATAGTTTCCACTGTGGTTTCTCCATCCAGGAAAAGTCTGTATTGTTTTTAATTTTCCACTTGAGAATCAGAGCCTGGTATTTAAATATTTCCAAGCCTAGGGAAGTCCAGGTAGGAATTTTGTTGTTTATCCCAGTTGTCTAATGTTTTGAAAATGTTGCCAGATAAGAATGCTGTTCTTTTCCACTCTGTTGAATAAGAAAGAATGGTCACATAGGTGCATAATTGGAAACACATGAAGTCTAATATTTCTGTCTTCCATAGAGGATGGAATGTTTCTCTGCATTGATCTTCATGGATATTGTCTACACTGCAGTTCTACTTTGTTGCTGAGAGTAATGACTTTTTAATTTTATTCTGACTGGGGGTTTTTGTTTGGAATAATGTAATGTGATTTTGGAACCATACGTGGTCTCAGCCATGAGCTTGATCATCCCTTTCTGTGGTGGGAACTCTGAGCCCGTAAGGGCAGATTTGTTACTGCTGCTAAACTCTCAGTCACTCTATCTGCTGTTACTGGCCAAGGCAATTTGATCAATAGATGCTGGGAGCAATTTGCTCCACTGCTTAATAAAAGCAG